GGTGCGGTCGGCAGACCTTCTTAATGAATTAATTCTGGAGTTTCGGGAAAATCTCGCCTTCAACGGGGCCCCCAAACTTAACTATTACTTGTTCAATTCTGCACATTTTGGTCCTTTTCGCTCCAAATTCGTTCTTTTTTGTATCTTTTTGCTCCAATGACCCTAATTCATCATTCCTGCAACAAAACATCAAAAATACCTTTCTTTAAAGTGCAATATCATAAAAAACAGTATAAAATATGTATGAAAATCTCAACATATTTTCCTCTGGTCAGATGCAAAGCAAGGTGAAGCAAATAAAACCAGACACTGACCATTAGCATCCCGAAATAAACCTCCAATTCCAGACTTCTCACCATTAAAACTACCATTAATATTACCCTTAATCCACCCAGGGAAAGGAGGAGACTACTTGGTCTATGAACATTGCACTGCTGAGAAATAATACCTCCCATCGCTTTAGAGGCTTTAAGGAAGTTGGCAACAATAAGAGCAACCAGATTGTGGGGGGTATGAGGTGAGTTCTCATACTTGTGACTATTTCTTCCGACCCAAATAAACCACAGAACAATCATAGGGAAATAATGAAGCTTCTTGTAAAAATAATCAGAGTTCTTCTAAGTTTCTAGGATATTCTTAATGTGGAATCTAATTGGCCATCTTAAACCAAAATATGAACCAATATGATGTCAAACAATGGAAGCAAAATTACATTCATAAAATAAATGATTAGGAGATTCAGCTTCTTGCTTAGAAACATAACAAACAGAGGCCAACTTTAAACCCTTCATTTTAAGGATGTCATCAAGAGGTAGAAGGTTATAAAACAATCTCCAAATAAGCAAGGAGATAGAAGGGGAGATGAATTGGTGTCAAGTATATTTACTCCAATACCACTGAGAATGATTGTAGAGTTGTGTATAGAATTTTAGTGATAGAGACATTAGAAAGTAGCTTCCACATAGGAACATCTATAGAGCAGTATTAATAGGGATGAGGGATGGATGTTAGCAATGGAAGTAGCTTCTTCACCAACAAGAGTCCACAACATAGCGATATTCCAATCTCCATTAATCCAGCAATCCCTAACCAGAAGATCTTCATCAGAAATGGAATGAGGTAAACTTGACAGATGGGAAGCAGTCCAGTGATCATTCCAGAAAGAGACATTTCCTTAGAAAGAGACATTTCCGACATTTCCTTCCCCAATATCCCAAAAAATAAAGTGGGAAGCCACCTCCCGAGCAAGAATGATAACTTTCCAACTTTTGGAATCACCCACATGCCAGGAAGCAACAAAAGGGTGAACAAGAGTGCAATACTTATGTAAAAAAAATTGAGACCAAAGAGAATATTGGGCTCTGAATTTGTACCAAATTTTGTACATATTAATATCAATAATTTCTTTTAGGGTTTTAAACCCAAGCCCCCCTGACTTACAAGGTTTACAAACTTTCTTCCAACTAGCTCATATTTTAGATGATTTATTCTCACGCCAAAGAAATTTATTAAAGAGAACTTCAAAAATATTCCGTGTACTTTTCTTTATTTTTAGCACTTGCATAGAATATAAGGGAATACTGCATAACACATTTAAGGAGCCTACCCCCATTAGACAAGAAAGTATTTCTCCAATCATTGATTTTAGACTTGATAGTCTCCACCATGTCATCCATTTGAATTTGTTTCCTCCTTCCCCTTAGCAAATTGACCCCAAGGTATTTAAGAGGGAGCTTTGCTATCTTGCAACCAGTGTAAACAGAAGCCCACTTTTCAATGTTTTGATTTACCTTGCTGCCAAAATAAATGGAACACTTATTCAGGTTAAAGAGTAGGCCAGAGGCATCCTGAAAGCTAACCTTCTCTCCTAATTCTTGGCTAAAAAAATAGATATAAATGCAAAACCATACATAGCACCAAAATCTTGAAATGAATCCAACACCCTAACCATAATATTAGTTTCAACATTAGTTATGAAGAAAAGACAAAGGCGAAAATGGTGTACCTTTGTTAATGGCTTAAGTATATAAATCAATAAACTCTTTAGGACAATAAATCATAATAACTTTTTTCTATA